CAAGGCATCTCCAAGTGTTCTTGAGTTAAACACTTCCATTCTTCAACAATCATCTACTGAAATCACTTAAGGTGAGTTCATACCCCTACATTTTAATGTTTTCTCGAGTTTTTAAGGGGGGAATACAAGTTAAAACACCAAGAACATAACTAAATTTTTCTAACAGCCTTCATCAGAAAAGTTCAACTCCATTCACGGACTGTTTTGGACAACTTAAACAATTTATTTTTCAAAACTGTTTTAGGTGCGAGTAGTTCCATTTCTTAGCTTTAAAATTACTACTTGCAAATCTCCACACGATTTTTCTACAATTTATGATGATTTTTTACAAAACAGCCTGTCTTTTCAAACACAAATCTGGACCAGTCTGTGAATATGAGCATTTTAGGACAAGCTAAAGGATTCCAAAAATCATGATAAAAATTATGAGTAAACTAGACTCATTTTAGGAACTCTCAGAACTTACGGATCTAGTTTTCGACTTCGTATGATTTTTCTAAAATAGTGCAGAAAGATTAAGAATTAGTTAACAGCTTCTAACTATCAAAACACTTTGTAACATGTTGAGCAAAGTGTGAAGTCTTTGATGACTTCATATATTTCATGTATTTCTTGTTATGATATATTTGTATAATAGGAAATTACTTACTGAATTTATAAGAATCCTCCATCATAATCAATAGTACAAAACAAAGCAAGTTAAACATAACCATATTGTACTATACATTTGACTTACATAGAATGGGATTCTTAAACACCACAAAGAAATATACTAAACTATAATAGGTATAGTTAGGGTACATATACATTTCAAACATTTTAATAAACTATAATAGGTATAGTTTATGATCATTTACATAACATACTCGTACAAAAGGGGGTATAAATACAAAGTATCGGGTTTTTATACAAAAGGGGTACAAATACAAAGTGTCGGGTTTATATATATAAAAGGGGTACAAATACAAAGTGCCAGTTTTTATACAAAAAGGGGTACAAATACAAAGTACCGGGTTTTTATACAAACGGGGGTACAAATACAAAGTGTCGGGTTTATATATAAAAAGGGGTACAAATACAAAGTGCCGGTTTTAGACAAAAACAGGTACAAATACAAAGTGTCGGGTTTATATACAAAAAGGGGTACAAATACAAAGTGTCGGGTCTTTATACAAAAAGGGGGTACCGATACAAAGTACCAAGTTCACTTAAAATAGTTATTATGATATTAAAACAATATTTCATCTAGAATTGTTACACTTCAACTATAATCGTTGAGCGTACATGTTTGAGTCATATAAGAATTTAGTCTTGATTAGCTTAGAATTGGTGGTGCCCACCTCATCTCCTATTCCTCGTTGGGTTGTGGACCTAGGGTAGACCCACTATATTCAACGTTTTATCTAATTTAAACCTTATATAACTTATATACGCTGGACGATTATAGAGGAACTCTACGGGTCATTCTAGGGTTCATTTATGCATCATATAGGAATACTTCTATTCACACTTAACTAAGAAAATATTGGATTTTCTGGAAATCAAACTATATTTCATCTAGAATCGTTAGACTTCAACTATAATCGTTGAGCGTATATGTTTGAGTCATATAAGAATTTAGTCTTGATTGGCTTAGAATTGGTGGTGCCCGCCTCATCTCCTGTTCCTCGATGGGTTGTGGACCTAGGGCAGACCCACTATATTCAACATTTTATCTAATTTAAACCTTATATAACTTATATATGCTGGACGATTATAGAGGAACTCTACGGGTCATTCTAGGGTTCATTAATGCAACATATAGGAATATTTCTATTCACACTTAACTAAGAAAATATTGGATTTTCTGGAAATCAAACTATATCGATTTTACAAGGAAAACGGTTTCTACTTCAAACAAAACTCTTATGAACTCACCAACTTAATTGTTGACACTTTTCAAAACAACTTGTATTCTCAGGAAATCAGTGAAACAGGAAAACTTCATCGCTTTGAGGATGGGATGTTAAACCGTCAACAATTTATTTTTGTCATCATAATGTAATTGATTTTGAATCATGTAAACATATACTTTGGTGTAACTTTTTCAATTATATTTATGTTGGTTGTATTTACTTTGAGCACTATTATATTCGTTGTTGTGATACTGTACATGAAGTCCTCCACCCGCGGACGTTTCTGCCATCCTTGGTTTGGGGGTGTGACATACCCCATCAGGTAAAGTCTGTAGAAATAGAGGAAATGAGCTCCTAAATGATTAAGTAAAGACAACAATGTTCAAGGGTAAAGTTGGTGTAACACCGTGATTTTCAAGGCAAAATTTTCATTTAATTAATCAAATTAATATTAAATCACTTGTTTAAAATTTCATACACATTTGAATTACAAAAACATAGTTCCATTTTCACTTAGTAGAAAAACCAGGATCCTCCAGAATACAACTCCTTCTTTGGTGTGTACAATCGAGCCGGTGCCATCCCGCGTTACTGAAAGAACCTGAAACAACATACATAAAACACTGTAAGCACGAAGCTTAGTGAGTTCCCCAATATACACCTTACGCACATACGCCTTTCCAGGCCCTGACCTTCCGTTCCACTGCACAATGCCTTCCGGCCCATGAGATAATCGCCTTCCGGCCCATAACGTGTTGCCTTCCGGCCCATAGTACATTGCCTTCCGGCCCATAACATATTGCCTTCCGGCCCATAACATATTGCCTTCCGGCCCATAACATATTGTCTTCCGGCCCATAACATATTGCCTTCCGGCCCATAACATATTGCCTTCCGGCCCAAAAACATATACGGCACATAATACATTTACTCTAACACATAAAGCACATATATCATATATCATACCTGACCTTTCTGTCACATAACACTTTGCCTTCCGGCCCATATAAACATGCATATCACGCGTAGCAACTAACTTTCCATTTATAGCATATATACATAACACATAACATATTCGACCTTCCGGTCACACAATCAAACCCTTCCGGGTACAGTATAGGGAGAAGACTCACCTCGTGGATGCTGGAAGTTAGCAACTCCTGAAATCACTTGCACCTGATCCGCCGAGCTACAAGCTCCCTATAACAATATATCTCTTATTAATACTTTTATCTTCCACGTTAACTGACCCTAAGAAATCACACACAGGTCAACTCTGGTCAACGGTCATCTCGACTGGACTCGGCGAGTACCCTGGCGACTCGGCGAGTCTAGTCGTCCTCACAAATTCCTGGATGTTCCCTTTCTACTCGTCGAGTATCTCTCTTGACTCGACGAGTTCCTCGTGGAAGAATCGCGGGGCCACCCCGACTCCACTCGCCGACTCTGAAGAACAACTCGACGAGTCCCAGCTATTCTTCAAGCTACTCGCCGAGTCTGCTCATCCGACTCGGCGAGTCCATGCCATGCAATCGATCAAACTGCTTCCTAAGATCAGAATCGTCCCGACCAATCATAGGTCTGGTCCTCCTAAGCTGGTCCATCACAAAAGGCCTTCATTTAGGTGCTCATGCTACACCCAAGACTCAAATTCCCATGTTAACCTAAGGCATAAGGATTTCAATCCAAAACCTTCACCAATTCCCGAAATGCACAGACCTGGGATCTTCTGGACCTCCAAGGGTCCCAACACAGGGTTACAATCGTTTGGGGGACAAGGGTAACCATTAATCTAATCACAAAAGGGTTCCTTAAACCCTAATCCATGCACACATTCACATAACAGAATATAATCCGGAATGTTACCTAAATAATGCCCTCTCTGTGTCCCCAAGCCTCAGAACATGATTCCCTTGTTGTTCCTTTAGCCAAAACCTTCCCCTTCTTGAACAATAACTTCTTCAAAATCACCAATAGCCTTCAATCCTCGCTCTAGATGCCCCCAACCGATTTAGGGTTCTTCTCAGCAGCTAAAAGGGAACAACGACGGCCAATGATCCCATTTATACGTCCCCAAACCTGAACGGCTAGGGTTTACGCTAAACAGCGCAGACTCGCCGAGTCCCTATCTGGACTCGTCGAGTCCAGTCGCGAACCCGCGACCAAATCTGCGATCCTACTCGGCGAGTCAGGCTCCAACTCGCCGAGTCCCCCCCTTTAAAACACCCCAAAATGTGATTTAACAATACTTTGAGATTTCGGGCTGTTACAATTAGGTGGGTTGCACCTGATCCTACATCGACTTGGAAGGAGAACGAAACATCTACTTATAAGGGGTGTGGATACCTTCCTTGTCACAACGCGTTTTAAAGCCGTGAGGGCAGCAGATCCCATAAGAACTCTGCAGTTAAGCGTGCTCGGGCGGGAGTAGTACCGGGATGGGTGACCCCCTGGGAAGTCCTCGTGCCGAGTGGCCCAAAGCGGACAATATTGTGATACGTGCCAGAGGGGGGTGTTACAAAATGGTATCAGAGCTAGGGCACGGGTCGATGTGTTCGACAGGGACGTCGAACCCTATAATGGGGGGTGAAGGTGGGTTGCACCTGATCCTACATCGGCTTGGAAGGAGAACGAAACATCTACTTATAAGGGGTGTGGATACCTTCCTTGTCACAACGCGTTTTAAAGCCGTGAGGGCAGCAGATCCCATAAGAACTCTGCAGTTAAGCGTGCTCGGGCGGGAGTAGTACCGGGATGGGTGACCCCCTGGGAAGTCCTCGTGCCGAGTGGCCCAAAGCGGACAATATTGTGATACGTGCCAGAGGGGGGTGTTACAGTTGGCAGTATACCTTCCTTGATCCTCCAAACAGGAGTCAAGCCACAACGTTTTTCCTCTAATTCATCCTCTAAATTATTGCCAATGAAAAATTTCTGGTGGAACTTAATGTCATCCAAAAATATGATATAAGATTGAAAAGAAAATGAAAAACTATCTATCTATCTATCTATATATATGTAATATATGTGATATAAGATTTAAAGGAAAATGAAAAATTATTGGTCGAACTTAATGTCATCCAACTCAATGGCTTTTCCCTTAGTAGTTCATCCTTGTGCCTCCAATAATACTCTATCATTCAGTCCAAGCTTATACTCAGACATACCACTATAACAAGAATGAAATAATGAAAATTTTACCCATTAGTTATTTTTTAAAAAACTTTTTAAATATATATAGCAAAAAAAAGAGAGATAAATTTAGTTTGACCTCAAATAAGTTCGCATCTTCAATGCACCGACAACTTCTGATCTAACTATTTGCCCATTATTGTTCACGACCATATTCACACACTCCACAACATCCAAAATTACCTGAAGAGATTAAGATATTATTTTTTTGTAAATTGTAATATTACAAAAAGAATGAGGCATGTCTTGGTTATTTCTTTCCAAAACTTTCTTATTTCCGCCAACTGGATCCATCAACTCCAAACCTCTACCGACCTCTGCCTTCATTCCACTGTTCCCATGCCTGAGACATTTATCCATCATATATATATAGAGAGATGTTAATCAAAATGATGAAGAAACTAAAATAACTTGCAAGCCAGAAGGTAATGTTGAGTGGGTGTTCCACATTATTCATCCTGTTGCTTACAATTTCAAGCAACAAATCACAAAACCAAACACATCCATCTTTGTTGAAACAGAGCCTTCTAACATATACTCTGGGGGCATATAACCACTGTATATCAAAATATCCAATCAAGACCCAAGATTTATTATTGGTTAGGGACTCATATTGACAAAAGATAAGTTATGGACTCACCGTATTCTAATAACTCGACTTGTATTTGCTTCAGACTCATCCATCCCAAATAACTTAAAACCTGATATTTTTGGCTTCATGTAGTCATCTAGCAAGAAGTTATTTGCTTTCAAATCTCTATGGATAATCTTCAGCCTTGAAAACCTATGGAGATATAGGAGTACTTGAGCCATTAAATGTCATCAAGATTAGAAATAGTGTATTCCAATCAAGTAATCCTTTCGTCCTAGAATTTGTTCAAAATTAAATGAGAAAGATAGCCAGACAAGATGAAGTAAATGTTGATTAGATCTTACCAAATAGAAAGGAGTCCAAACTTTTATTAGGCATGTATGTACTCATATACAATCAAGTCTTTTGGTAATACTATAGACATAAACAGCAGCAAAATCGAATCATTCTCAGAACTAATCAAAGGAATAAACTCACTGTCAACCTCAGGACAACAATCAAAATAAAGCTGAAAACAGGGGAGTTTATTAGAGCGAAAGAGATGAGAGATGAGAGAGAAAGAGATAAATGGAGGAGAAGAGTAGTTGCAACCTGCCCGATGATATTGCCCGTACACTTTACCTTCACTATAATTGTCTCTGGTCATCACGCCGATGTCAAGATCTCTGTAATTCAAGAACGCCCCACTTGGATTCTTTGATATGAATGGTGTCATGAAATTGTGCATAACCCTTGCTTGATTCAAGTAGTTTATTTCAAGTGTGGGATCAGGGTCACTCCACATGATGGAATATTGTATTTTGAAAATATTGTCGGTGCAGTGAGGCATTGGACGTAGTCGGACTTCCATTTTTCGAAGTTGATGTTGTCGGAGTCGCGATTGAGGAGAATCTTCGGCGCGGTTGTGTTGTCGAAGTTGGCCCAGTAAAGTAAGGATTCAATCCAACTTCCTTCCACAAAATTCTATTAGGGTTGATGGGGTTCGATGGCTTAGCTGTCGATTTCATCAGATGCACTCCGAACTCTTAGAGATGATGGGGTTCGATGCTGGTGGTGGCGGTTAGGGATTCCAAAGGGAAGGGATAGAGATTTCAGAGGTAGAGGAACACAGGCTTCTTCAAAAGGATTGACAGCCTCACAATTCTGTTACGGTTCATTGGTAGAGGATTTTAGAAGGAGAAAAAGGAGATACATGGCGGGGTGTTTAATTTTTTGGGATTTCATTTCCCGGCTATTAAAGAAATAGAGAACGCGTGCCTTCCTAAAAAAAATATAAAACGACACCTTTAGAGCCCACGCTTTTTTCATTAGGTGCCCTCCATGTTTTTAATATATTTTTTTGAGATACTAATTTAAGGGCACACAAAAATGTGTGCCCTCTATACTTCAGTTTTTGGAAACCTAACATTATTTTTAAGAACACACAAAAATGCGTATCGTAAATCTGCGAGTGTCATTGTTTGCGCGTCATTAAAGGGTATTTTTCTTTTAGTGCGTGAATGTGTACGTTGATGATATAATTGTTTATTCACGAAGTAAAGAAGAACATAGCCAACATTTGCGGCAGGGTTTGGAAACACTCAAAGCCGAGAAGCTGTACACAAAACTCTCCAAGTGCGAGTTTTGGATTCGCAGAGTGGATTTTCTAAGTCACGTGGTTAGTGAAGAGGGAATACATGTGGACCCATCCAAGATCAAAGAAATTGAGGGCTGAGAAACCCCGAGAACCCCGACGGAGATCAAAAGTTATTAGGCCTCATAGGTTACTACCGGAGGTTCATACATAATTTCTCCAAAATTTCCAAGCCCCTAACCACTATAAACCATAAGGGTGTACACTTCACCTCATAAACAAAAAAAAAATAGGTTGCTTTTCAAACCCCGAAACAAGCCCTCTGCAGTGCTCCGATGTTGTCTCTTTCAGAGAGAACGGAAGATTTTGTGGTATATTGTGACGCTTCTAATCAAGGGTTAGGTTGTGTACTTATGTACGGGGGAAGGTTATAGCCTATGCATCCAGACAACTGAAGACCCATGAGGTGAACTATACCACACACGATCTTGACCTGGAAGTTGTGGTCTTTGCTTAAAGATTTTAAAGCACTACCTCTACGGGACGAAGTGCCCCATTTTCACAGACCACAAAAGCCTCCAACATATTGTGAACCAAAAAGAGCTAAACATGAGGCAACGGCGATGGGTCGAGCTGCTAAATGATTATGAATGCAAAATCCATGACCACCCGGGCAAAGCCAACGTGGCACCTGATGCCCTAAGCTGGAAGAAATACTCAGACCGCCGATTAGGGACACTAACAATGACCATCTATTCCCACTTGTCTTCACAAATCAAAGAGGCTCAACTAGAAGCATTGAAACCAAAAAACATCGTGAATGCAACATTACGTGGGATGGATAAGAACCTAACCATCAAAGAGGACGAAGCCTACTACCTTATGGATCGAATCTAGACATTGAAGTTTGGCGTACTCTGGGATGTGGTTATGAATGAAGCACACAAAACAAGGTACTTCGTCCATTCAGGCTTAGACAAAATGTACTTGGATCCTAAACAACATTATTAGTGGCCGAATATGAAAGTCGAAATTGCTACCTATGTGGGCAAGTTCCTGACTTGTGCCAAAGTTAAGGTAGAGTATTAGAAGCCCTCGAGTCTACTACAATAACCCAAAATACCCGAGTAGAAATGGGACAGAATAACAATGGATTTTATCACCAAATTGCCTAAGACGAGTGACGGACTGGATGTCATATGGGTGATTGTCGATCGGGTTACCAAATCCTCCCATTTCCTACCAATAAAAGAAACATATAAAATGGAAAAGTTTCCCTAGATCTACATAGGAGGTTGTGAGATTACATGGTGTGCCAACATCTATTATCTCTGACAAAGATAGTAGATTCACATCTCGATTTTGGAAGTCACTCCAAAGATTGTTGGGAACTCAGCTTGATATGAGCACTGCCTACCATCCCCAAATGGATTGTTAGAGTGAAAGGACCATCCAAGCCTTGGAAGATATGCTCAGAGCTATGTGATAGATTTCAGCAAAGCATGGGATGCCTATTTTCCATTGACTGAATTCTCGTACAACAATAGCTATCACACAAGTATTAAGGTCACTCCCTTTGAGGCCCTATATAGACGAAAATGTAGATCACCTATATGTTGGGAAAACGTGAGAGACACTCAATTGGAAAAGGGACTGGTACCCAATAGTACTCTGACCGGTCTGGAAATCATCAGGGAAACCATTGAGAAGATTGTCCAGATTAGGAAACGATTAAAGGCATCCAGGGATAGACAAAGGAACTACACAGAGAAAAGACGAAAACCTTTGGAATTTCAAGTCGGTGATCGGTTACTGCTAAAGGTCTCTCCCTGGAAGGGGATGATACGCTTTGGGAAACGTGGGTAGTCGAACCCGAGATACATCGGACCGTTTGAAATCCTTGCCAGTATTGGATCGGTGGCTTACAAGCTACAGTTACCACCATAACTCAGCAATGTACACCCTGCCTTTCATGTGTCGAACCTGAAGAAATTCCTATCTGATGAAACTCTCATTATTTTGCTTGATGAGATCGAAATCAATGAGAACCTTCATTTTATTTAAGAACCAGTTGAAATAATGGACAGGGAAGTGAAGCGAACAAAGAAAAGTCGTATTCCTATTGTGAAGGTTTGATGGAGTGCCAAACGCGGACCTGAATTCACATGGGAATGTGAAGACTAAATGATGCAGAAGTACCCCAATCTTTTCCCTAGATCTTGAAGGCTGCCTTAGATCGAATTTCAGGATGAAATTCCTTTTAACTGGGGGGTGGGGGAGGGGAGGGGAGATGATGTCACAACTAGCAATTTAGGGTTTAAGATTTGAACCTTGTACACAACAAATTCCTCTATGTAACCCTAATATATCAAATTAGTGAAATTCAAACTACAATGTGATATGAAAGCATATGTGCATACATTTAGGAATAAAGTTATAATAGCCTCTGATAAGCCCAAGTTTGATCCCACAGTTAGACAAAATCTATTTTTGGGCTTTGCTTAGTGTTCACAGCCCAAAAACCCTTATTGGGCCAAGTAAGTCCAGAAGCCGATAATCACACTCTAAGAACCGAAAACCTTTATTTTGGGACTCTCTTTGACCGAAATCCCTTGAATTGTCCCAACAAGGATCCAAAAACCACATTGGGCCATATTGGACCCAAAAGCCCACACCTCAACGACCGAAAACCTCTTGGGGAGGTGTTTTGGCCACATTAAAACCTAGAGCATCTCCTTTTAATTTAATGAAATCAATTTTAGCATCGGACAAACCAAAAAAAAAGGAAAAAATGTGACCTCATTCCTTTACCTTGTATTACCCCCCCCCCCCACCCCATGTCTCAACACAAAACATACAAATATCCTCCATGCCTCCATGCATGGCACATGTTAGTCCTACAAGCAATGACCAAGCCATCATCCTCCCCATTTAATGGAGAGATCGACCGAACCCCCCCCCCCCCACATCCACACCAAAATTCATTTTCAACTCACTTGGCTCTCAAAACACTCGATTTTTCTCCCATAAATTCATAAACCACCTTCAAGGGAAGATACATTCTTCAAGTGGTCCTAAGCATTTTGGTAAGTCCTTTGTGAAACTCAAAAAGTTTTTATACCTGTTTATGCCAAGATCATCCCATTTACACACACCATCTCGTGTGTAGCTTCTTAGAGCATCACCATTTTCGAGTAACCTTCAAGATACACAAGTCTAGTCTCAACAGCTTCTGTCTTCTTCTTCCTAACACACGAAACCAAGGTGAGCTTCATGCCCCACTATTTTCGTATTTTTCATACTTTTTTTAGGGGAATACAAGTCCATTTCCGGTTAACCATTGGATATTTGCATGCACCCATATGTTCATGTAGCAATTTGTGCTTGAAATGTGGAAAATCTCATGTCAATACATCATAAACTCGAGATTTACAAGCTTCCTGTTTGCTACATTACGTTTAACCATTGGATAATTACATGCTTCTTAGTTGTGTGTTGAATATGGAACAAACACTAGCTTAAAAATGATATTATCTCATAGAAATCATGATGAACATGTTTATTAATATATGTGTCCTATAAGATTTGGTGGACATGGATTGTTATCTCAAATTTTCGAAGTCATAATATGTATATATCCATGCATGGGTAACTTTTGGATACTTACATGCACTTTTTTTTTACAACCTGCACTAATATTTGCAAAAATATTGAGTATGTCGTTTATGGTGCTACAAAAGTTGTGATTTTACTTGAGCTAAACTCAAACAATATATTTTGTGTTTTAAACCTACAAATTTGGTAAAAGGATAAGGTTTGATATTTTACTAAAAATAGTTGTAAACTTGTTGTCATTATTTTTGGATGGGTTATAACCAAAGATAATATACTATTTTTGCAACATAGTTTATAACTAGACCTATTTATTAAAGGCTATTTATATAAAATAATGGAAAATTGCTTAACCGAAATCATATACAAAATAGTTTCGTGATAGAAAATATTGCGTGTCATAAATTGTTGTTCATAAAACTCTTATTTCTTAAATATTAGGTTGCATGTCATGAAATCTGGAAATCACGTGTCATAAAATAGCATATTACCAAATTCTGGAAATGTGTGTCATAAAACATCACTCACGAATTTACACTAGTTAAGTTATTTTAATATCCAATAAAGATAGTCAAAACTTGCGTAAACCCGTTAATGCTCTAGTGAGACACTATCTTCACCGTACCTACCTAGCATACACTCTAAGACCTGTTATTATAATCAGA